CATTACACCAGTTTAGGTTATCTTTGCTCAAAACCAGAAAATATAGCTTCAGTGCCCAGGGGCTTTAGCATCTTTTGACAGCTCACACTAGGAATTCACACTAATGTCTGAAGGCTGGAAGATTTGGTCTCTGTCTTTTGCTTGAAATTGTTTAGTGATGCTTTCCATTGCAGAGAATTTAACTTTACTTAAGTTGTCATCAATTGACAGTCCATCTTTCTATGTTTGGAACACAGTGTGCCTTAGTGCTCTCAGGCAAAGCTAAGCCTTTCTGTTTTAATGACAAGTTCTGAGATAGGATCTACCTGCTACCTTTATTGCTCAAGCATAAATTGCTTATGGTTAAATATTTGATCATTTAAGGCAGAGGTGGCTCTTGGGGAGTTAATGTAAGAAGTAGCATACTGATAATACACCGAGTTGAAATGCATGTAAAAAGAACTGGTTAAACTAGGGCAGTACGATTTTAATCAGCACCACTTGAATTCCAGCAGTTTATTGCTTGGATCAAATTACATTGATTTGTAACTATTGTTATTGAATTTATTAATTTTAACTAGAAATCATCAAATACTAACCTGTCCTTGAGTATTATGTTTTCCCTTTTATAATAAAAACAGGTATGTTCTTTTGTGGGTGGGTGGGGTGGGGAAGGGAGGAGGGCGAGAAAAGCCCTATATGATTTTAAAGTTATTTCTTTTTAAATTTGTATTTCAAAATGGTTGTATCTTCTGTATTCAACTTTACCACAGGAAGAAGGCAACAGATTAGGAAAAAAAGTAAATGCATAAGGACAACTTTAATGTAAATAACAATTATTAATACAAAAAGAGCATCCCCAGAATGTTGTTGAAAATCCTACTAAAGGAACCAGTTTTTAAACAAAATGTGGCATTTTATACATTGAGATACAGAGGACATTTAAAGTAGCACAAGTAAAGAATTGTAAAATTATTATTATATCTTTACTTTTCTCCTTGGTTTCTAGAAATTTAGATAGTGAGATGCCTTTGCTGGAGGGAATGGTTCTGGCCTTCATCTGTGCCTGCTGACATCTGGCACTTTCAGATACTTATCCTCACATTTCAACTGTCATAGAACCTATTTATTCTTTTAACAGAATATGAACCCTTTAAACTCCATACAGCTGAGGGGTGAAGGAGTTGTGGGGTTTTTTTAGTATATTCCTGAAAAACGTTTGTGCAGCTTTCAAAATGCATAGCGTGAAGTTTGCACCTCTATCAAAAAATCACTTGTGAATCCGCAAAGAAGACTCAGAGGACTAGTAGTATTTCCTTAGAACGTAATGTATTTTTACATCCTGATTAATTTTTATTATTATTTCATTAGATGAAATTTGAACTCGAAATTTACATTTCATGTACAAGATCCACGTATTTTTTTCTTCCTGTAAGTTAAAACTGTTCAGCAGGATGTACAGTCTCTGGGTCTTGTGAGCAAACACTTTCCATGTTGGAAAGCCTCTTTCTGTGGCCGATGAATATGCACATGACCACAGAGATTGGTCTGAACTTGTGGTCCACGGGCCAGAACCCTGTGTCCCTAGAGCAGAAAAAGGTGTGATACAGGTCTGTGATGATAGCTTTTCTAGAAAAGGCATTTCTCAAATTGTTAGAAAAATATTTTATGCATAATGTTGTGGATACTGTAGCTTACCCAGTTCAGATCGGCATTCTAAGCATGATATCAGTAACCTCTGCTGAAGTGATGCTAGAGGACTGTGAACTTTTGAGTTCTCAGCCTTCAGTTAATGCTGGCAAATAGGAAAAGTAATCTTTTTCCCCAAGTGTCAAGACAATGGGAAGCTGCTGTTGGGAGGGGCAGCAGCAGGGGCACAGCACAGGCAGCTGGTGCAGGAGGAGCAGTTCTCACGCACTCTCTGTCTCTCTCGCACAAATGTCATCAGCTGGTGGTAGGAGTAGCAGCAGCGAGATCACAGGGGTGTATCTCACATGATTCACTGGGGTCCTGAGTTTGTAAATGTAGTAAAAAAAACAGACACAATTTCTGAAAGAAAGTAATCTCTAGGGTTTAATGCCCTGCAAGACAAGCCTCTTTTTCTTTTTGAATTTTACACTTCTCATCAGGACGTCTTAACATTGCAGACACCAAGCTGTTGTGAGCATTCCCGTGGCAAAACAAGTCCGTGGTTTGCCATTCACACAGCCTCATTGTTACAGACTCGCCGTGCTTTCATTTTCTTTGGGTTTTATTGCCAGACATGGAAAATAGAAACTACCCATTAGTGAATGTATTTCCTGTTCTATTAAAATAAAGAAATCACTGTTGATAGTTCTCGCCTTGGTCTTGCCAATATTGATTTCCATTAAAAATACAAGCCTTACCTGATACCCACCACACACAGACACACACATACACACCCTACTCCACAATACTTTGGTGCTTTAGAAAAGTTCTGGATTGATATCCCAAGACAACGAAGTCTTCTATCTGTAAAACCTGTCACCAGCCACATTATTTTATCTTTCTTAACCAATATGTCTGAATTGTAATTGAAAAGAGCATAGGTTTTGTTGGTGGCTCAGATTTCATACTCACTTAGACAGAAGTAACAGCATCAATGCCAGTATTACACTGATCTCCAGCTTGAGATGGCACTCAAAATACTCTTCTGTATTTTACTATTTTGTGCATCACCATCAAATTCAAAATTTTTCAGATTCTCACTTGGACACTTATTCTACAAATACATATGCATTTGGTTTGCATTTACCTGAATGGCATCACCAAAGAAAGTTGGGTTAATTGCATTTCTGTTGGGTCTATGCTTAGAGTTTTCAGAATAAAATAAATATATAAAAGCTTTTTTTTACTATTTATGGCCCAGATGGCATCCAGCATTCACACATAGTATTAGTAATCTGTTATAGCAGCTCTTTTATATCCTTGATAACAGTGGGATTAAAAAGGATAGTAAAAGCATCTTACAGAAAGGTATGAACTAATAGTCATATGGTACACATCCACTAAATTAATAGACGGGAAATTGCATGCTGCAGGTGACAGCCTTTACTCTTTCATTTTCTTAAATACTTGTTTTCATTATTCTTCATGAAAGTTTGTTTTCAGCAGTTGAATCTTTTGACATCATCAGTACCAATAATTCAGTGACAGAAGATACCAATTCATATGACTGTGAATTTCAGTCTGGTTTTGTACTGATCTATAATAAAGAGACTTATTTGTGACATAAATCATATTGATATAAATTTGGCCAAGTTTGATTCAGCTGGTTGGTGTGCTACCATCACTCTTGACCTCTACTGCTAATTGTAGCTTACCATGTCCATTTTCGTTGTAGCGTAAGGGCTAACCACTTGTCAAAATGTTCTGAAGTGTTTTATTGAAGTTGCTTAAAGTTCAATTTATTGTTGCATTGAGAACAAGACCCAGGAGTATAAAAGCTGAAATAATTCCCTAGAGTTCTGAGGATTCCCAGCAGTTCTTTTTCTTTGTGCTTTCTGCTCATAAAGTCTTACTTTGTGATCACAAACCAAGCAGATTCCATTTTAAAGCTTGTAATGATGTGGACTCACTTCCTTAACAGGTGTTAGATTTTGATCAAGTGATCAGAAACAATCTGGTAAATGCAATGTAAGAACCTTTCAGCTGCAACATGGTAACTGACTGTGTGTAGTCTTGCAGTCTAGTTTAGTACAAATAATACTGGTTCACTTAAACGACATTCCTCTTCCAAGTACCTTTCAGCTTTGTTAGACATTTTGCAAACCCCTGCTTTACCTGCCAGAGCAAGAGAGTTATGAGTGCGCATGTAGTTATTAGTCTCAGCTGGCAAAATGATAGGTTACATCTGGAGGCAATAGCTTCCTGAAACTCAGTGGCCTGCTCCTTTACTGAAAATACTTATATTTTAAAGGGAGGGTATAAGAGAGTCTTCCTTACTCAAGTATGAAGTGTCACAGTCAGAAAAAGATGGACCTTTCATTTTCTAAATGACTGCTCAAATTCTAATGGGAGGTGTCCCTGCCCACAGCAGGGGACTCAGAACTAGATGATCTTTAAGGTCCTTTCCAATCCAAACCATTCTACGATTCTGTCCTATTCCATTTCTGGTATAATTTATACTGTAAGGACACAACAGCTGCCGTGGATTACAGTATTGATGGCCACACTCTTATGAATCTCTTCTGGTCCTGACAAACTGCTTCAGTGCAGACTGTGAAAAAGGCATTGCTCTCTGAGGAGCTATGTACTGTTTACACAATACTTCAAATCACAGTTTTACCCATATTGGATTCAAAGCTTTTGTATTTTGCTATGCTCTGCCACAGGAGGCTGTTAAATTTACTCATCAAGTTTACTTTTGCTAAGAGTTTTACTTGTCTTGTTGAGTTTCTCATTTTACATTTTCTAGATGCTATCATACTATTACAGTATGTCTTCTGGAAAAATCCATGTTGAAGTTAAATAATTTGACTTTCTGACTACAGTCAGAGGAAATTTTAGAGTTTTTAAAAATAAAAGTTTGGATACAATAAACTTTATTCTGTCAAATCCTATAATTTAAATGACCTCTAAATGCTGTAGCATTTCCGGGATAATCAAATTCTGGAAGGTCAATGGATCACCGTACGCATCAATTTCTACTCCCAGTTCATGTTTTACATTCCACTGGCAGAACTTTTTCTGGAGAACTGCTGATGCTTGAAAAATAAAATGGAGAATAGCCACTTATTTTTTCTTTCCATTTTCATTTTGAAAGTATCTATCTTAAAAACTTGAGTGAGATGCTGTGCTTGTTAAACTTCAATTACTGAATAAAACTAGATCCAGAATCCTTTGACCAATTCTGCTGTGAAAGAGAGGACCATCTTTGTCACAACCATGAGACAGTTTATCATTTTCTCTGCTGTTCTCATGGTTATATGTGATGGAAACATTGCTCATATTCCCTGATTTGTGAGACCTATCTTTTATGTGTGTGTGTGGGTTTACAGCTTGCAGAAGTAGACTCCAGAGCTGTACATCTTGGCGCTGTCTTGGTTCGTGGCCTTACAACATTGCTCATGGCCAATAGCGCCTGTGGCTTTCCATTCAGAATGGATGATTTGATGCCGTGGACAGTGTTTGATGGAAAACTTTTTCAAGAAAAATACCAGCAGTCGCACCGAGGTTGCTCTGTGGAAGAGCTTTTGGAAGGCAATGTAAGTAACCACATCCTCTTAGACATTTCTGTATTCTTTGAAAAAATGTACCTGCCCATTTACTTCGTTGTTTTACTATTCATGTTTACATTGTTCCCCTTTCTTTGTATTTTTCTTCTCTCTCTTATTCCTTTTTCACTCTCTCCACAAAAAATAATTAAAAAAAAAAAAGTAGAAGTACTGAGCCTATGAAGAAAACTGTAATTTTACCTTTATTTTTTTTTCCATTACTCAGAATATAATATAAGGAAAATGGTTGTCAAGTTAAAAAAATTTAAATGCCCATAATGGTTTCCTAGTACTGAGATATTATTGAGATCTTTTTCCTGTAATATTTTAGGTAACATATTAAGAACATCTTTAAATAAGCACACTGGATATAATTTTTAAAGTGTTTAAGAGTGATACTTTTAAAGGCATTAAAGAACCTAAAGTTTGAGGTGAAGGTTTGGTAAATTCAAAGAGGAACTGTAAATCAGAAGAAGGTGTATATTTAGGTATTTTTTTAAACTCTCACCAAGTACCTTCCCGGACTTCTGAGTACTTTGGTCCTCAGTCCCACTTTATCTAACAAATGTGGGGATTTGTAAGATTTACATGCTATGTTACCAAAAAACCAATGTGACTTCAAACGTGTCTGGGCAGAAAGGTGCTGTCAGAGTCCTGCTCAACTCAATGCATTGGAGTGGCATTATGTCTAGGTTTGGAGGTAGGGTCTGCTAGACTGGGTGCAAGATTGTATTGATGTGTGAATGAAGTCTCAAACCAGACCTGGCTCATGCCCCATCAGCACAGAATTTGTGGAGAGATGGTTGGGTAGGTCTGTACTCATCAGTGAAGGTAGCTCTGAAGACCTTCAATTAATGTGCCTCTTTTCATTGTGGATTTGAAAAGCCTGTATCATTTAATTACTTTTGAAAATCTTACCTTTGAAATGTTTTAATCTGCTATTGAATATATCGCTTGAGGTTAAAATAAAGTAATTAGAGAAAAAAAATATTTCAGTTTTGATTTATGTTAATCTCGTGCATTCAATGCCAGTTGTTGTATAGTTTTCTTTTATAATTTTATGTCCAATTGCATACCATGCTGGTCTGGAGTGATGAGTGGAACACTTGTGGGTGAGTGGAATGAATGTGTTTTTAGCATGAAGGAGAAGAATAATCCTTTCCATATGTATTCAATCATATGATTAGGACCATAACTTCTTTCCAAGTCCTGTGGTTCCTATTAATTGGTTGGTTGATTTTGGTAGATTTTGGATTGGGACAATGGTTCACCCAGTTTTTCATGCAAGACTTTTGCAGAACAATAGATGGTTTAGAGAATAGCTAGGAAAATATAAAAAGTATCCAGATCTGTGTGAAATTGATACTTCTTTTCCATTTGGGTAGAATTCAGGTTAGTAGATAATTCTGACAATACCTATCTAAATCTGTATAAGACTTATATTAATTGAGATAGGTATTTTTAAATGTGTTAGGTAGTATATTTTAGCTAACATTTGAAAATCTTGGTGTGGTAATGTTTGAGCTGTATTTTATCCCATTTTATAACAAAGATGAAGAAAGATGATTACTTCCCTAGAACAGAGTTAGAAATATGCTTGATCAACTAAAATATCTAGGTTAGGGTTTTTAAAAGCCTGATGCTCTGTTTTACACAAACCCCACATAAAGTGTTCTGTTGTGAGGAAAAAATACTCTAGCCACGTGAATTTTTAGAGTAGTTTAAATATCTTTTTCTTTTTTAGGTACGATTTTATGGTACATATATGGCAGAGATATGTACCCAGACTAACAAAATAGCTTTCCAGCTTATCAGTTTGAGGCAAGAATCTGTTTTGAGGCAAATTGCCAAGAAATGCCAGTTTAGCTGGGAACACTGGCAAGGCAGCAAGCATATGTGATTGGTTTTTCCTATTAAGTTCAACTTTAATAAATAAAAATGGTACTTATTTCCTGGCAGAGCTTAATGTACTGCTGGAAACCAGAATCTTTCAGCGCTTGTTTGTTAACAATCTACCCTTGAGCACCATAGATATAATCTGGTGCTGGTGATAGTATTGTATTCAGAAAAGAAGTTATTCTGCGTGGGACGTTTTGTTATAGAAAATATAAATAATAGGAAAAAGTTATTCCTTTTGTTGTTCAGTGCTTGTCTCCTAAGGTCCCTTTTCTATGATCTGGACAGTTATATTACTTTGGGAACTTCAGGCAATCTCAGAATAAGTGCTGTTTTGACTACAATGGGCTGAAAAACAGTTAATAGCTTTCTAAAAATTACAGTGGAAATACAAATATTTACATGTATATCAGAAATTTTGAACATTTTAGGATTTGCTTCCTGCAGATTCTTGTACCCAAAGAATGTATACATTAAGTACAGTTGATATATTTGTGGGCAAGTTTTTGTGTGACTCAGCTCTTTGTAACCTAGCAGCTGTTAAAGATAAAAAATAGGCAGCTTTGGATAAGAATAAAAAAATAGAGCCATCTTGCTTTTTTAAAAAAATATGCTAAGCTCACATTATGCTTGTTCTCTGTTTTTCAAAACAGTAATCATATTAGTTTCTTTATCCACACAGAAAATTGGATATAATAGTCTCATAAAGCAGTGAGGCAATGATATTATCACTTTATTAGCCTTTTTATTGTGCTTCTCACTAATGAGTATGTTTATAATCAAGTTTTTAAAATTAAAACCAAATTACATAATGGGGTCATCATAAGTGATATGTTTTGTTCTTTTCTGATCATGCCTTTCATCCCACCTTCATAAACATATTCTGAATTTGTTCTCCCAAGAATAAAATGAAAGGTTTTTCCCATTAGAGGGTGTTCTTCACAAACTGGACTCAACTTGTGTGGTAAAAAAAAACCCCAAACTTGTGAGTTTTGTTTAAGTCTCTATTAACTCAAAAAGTGTAGTTGGGAAGTTCGCAGCAGGGTTCAGGGATTCAGACTCTACCTCTAATTTAAGAAACCTCTCTAATTGCTGCAGTCTTACTACCTATTGGATTTTTTACCTTCTCACGTCATCTTCTTCCCTCCTGCCTGCTCCTAAAAAAGGCATTGTTATCCCGTAAAAATCTGTTCCGTTTTATGAAAATCACGAATTGCCCTATCACTCTAAAATCTCTCTTTTCATAATTCTCTTTATTGTGTAGTAAAATCCCACATGACCCGTACAAATCAGGAGAAAAGAAATACATTCTGAGACCTGTCACTTTATCAAAGCTCACAGAAATCAGAGCAAGTTAAGGATATTTCACATCTCTCAGTGTTGCATCTTTAAGTAGTTTCAGCTTTTCCTTTTCACAGTAAAATTTTTCATCACGTGACAAGGTAAACATTTTTATTTAATTCCTCCATTTCTCTTTAGACTTAGTTCTATTTTATCAGTCAGGAGTCAGTGCTGATGTATTACTGTTAAGTTTTGTTTCTAACATATGAGATTAAGAGACTTTGATTTTAACTGGTGTATTTTCCATGAGTTCATCAGTCCTTATCTGGAGTCTTTAACCATCTCTTCCTGAGGTATTGCTGATAGAAGTCTAGTGAAGTATATCTACACGTACAGGGTAATAGCATAGAAAGGCAAGTGATTTACAGACATGAGCAGAGAAGAAAAACAAACTTCACTGAGAAAGCAGGAAAACACTTCTTCTGCACCCCTACTCATCCCTCCAAGTATCCACTTTTAATGTTAAATGTTTGAAATTTACTCCCTGAAAAAATGTGAACCAGATCTACTCTGTATGCATGAGTGTGGCTAAGACAAGTCTTTTAGTTGTTGTGTGTGTGTTTGATTTGTGCTACACTTGAAGAAAGATGAGCAGAACAGTCATTGATTTTTAACGCTATTGTTTGCAGGAGTCTTTGTATACACCCTTCCAGAATCTGAAGTCTTTCATTTGCAAGGTTTGCATGGCAAAGAAAAGAGTGATACAGAGCAGACCAAGAGGGAATGGATTTAACACAGGTTGGCATTGTGTTAATTTTCTCAGTAAAATTAATATATTGATGAGTTCAATTATCCTTCAACAGCAGCATCGATTACATAGGCATCCCATCAAACTAAGTAAATTGTAAGGTCTTTCTCCAAGAAACCAAAGGAGAGATCTTAGAAAATATTTCCCTTTTTAACAATTCGTGTGAATATGATTAGCCAAGTTTAGATAGAATAATATTTCCATCTAGCTACATAGTTAATGAGATATATGCAACAAATATCATTCGTTGACAGAAAAATCACTATTTGCTCTGAGACTAAAGTTATTTTTATAGGAAGAATTAAATGACTCAGACCTTTTTCTCCCATTCCCTCAGGGGAGCTATTTTAACGTTGATAGTTGAAGGTCTGAGTAAGGCAGTGAAGAGAGAATACTTTTTATTGGACTCAGTGATATGGTTCAAGCTATAAGAAAGCAACCTGGAGAACTGTGTTGTTCTTTGCTTTGCTTTTTCCCCCCCAGCTTTATGGTTTGGTTTGCTAAAGATGTTTGCTTTCCCTATGTGATCTACCTGACTTTCAGGGGGAAAAAACCATCTGAAAGGTTTTTAGCATCAATCGCAGATCAGCCTTAATATTGAGGCTTTTGAGACTTCAAAATAACTTACCCGAAATCTCATTGTTTATGCTTATATTATGTTTATTACTTGCTTAATACCTGATCAATTATAATGTCTGTGAGGATAGAAATTACCCCTTAAGAATTTCTTGAGCCAATTAGAGCAGACAGAATGTTTTTCTGCCAGTTCAGTACTTTGTGTTATACTTCTGATGTGGTACTACACTGTGCTGGTGCTGGACATTCAAAATTAAGGATATCTGTTAGTGATTTATAGTACCAGACCTTGTTAGCATCTGCTTTTCTTTGAGAGCTATACTTAACCATTTTAATTATGATTTGTGATTCCAATTTGGGCAGAGTTTTCTGTTTGGTTTAATGACTACATTTTCCAAATCTATATCATAAAATTTTGATCTGGTTTCTAAATACAGCTGTTAACAGCTTGTAATCGCGATGAGCATAGATGGAAATGAGGACAAGAACCACACTTTTTAGGCTGACTTTAGTTTGGAACAATCATAATTGTGCATGAGTATTTGGCATAAAACTAAGAAATATTGTTTCCTGAAAAATATTGTTTCTTCATTTAATCCTATATACTGTCAGAGTTGCTTAGTAAATACTGTTTTTCAGGAAGAGAACAAAGAGATTTTAATCCCAGATTCCAACAACCACGCAGAAGTCATTTTGTTTCTCCATATCATAACCAGATGAGGGGGTTCATACAGAGAAATCCTCAATCACAAGGTAAAAAAAGTGTGCACATTTGTGGTTTTGGAATTGTCTCTATCAACAATATAAAAGCTCTGTGTCTATATACAGTTACCCTGTGGCTACAGCAGTCAATAACAAAACTTGCATCATATTTGTGTACTACCATCAGGAAAATCTAACTCTACAGGGTGAGGTAGAGTGTAGCATTATAATCTCTAGTCATCTTTTACTCACAATGTTCTGGGAAAAAAGCTTTCATGGGGTATTTATAAGTTTCATGCTTCGTCTTAGCTGAACTGTGTTTAAAATTGTAATAGTTCTAAAGCAAATTGGCACAGCTGCACAGAAATGTTTGTCTGAAGTCTTTAGCTACAGATTTTTGTTCATACTTCAATAAAACACTTAAGCGTATGAATAAAGTTAAATACATTCTTAAGTGCTTTTTTAGGTCAGGGTCTCAGCTTCCAGGTCACTCCCTGAGTGAAAAAAATGGATGTTCTGTCTTGCCTTGGCATTAATCTTAAGTCATTCACCAGCCTCACTTCTTGAACAGACATTTCAATGAAGCATCACTGTAGATAGCACTGTTGAGCTGACATAATTCAGTTCTACATCCTGGTTACTGTGAGTTGAAGCACATACACATAGATTAAAGAAAATAAACAAAAGGAAGTGGAGTGTCTAAGAAACATCAATTGTTTTATTAAGTATGCAGAACCTGAATTTCTTTTGTGTTTCCAGGTGAGGTTTTCAAAGAAGATTGATGATATGATTAGGAAAGATAAACAATAAATAAATACAGTGAAGTCTTTAATGTGTTTCAGCTACCACTGTTGAGTACTTGCGAGTAAGATGCTACCATTTGATTCACAAATAAGATTGTTCAGTCCTGTATGTAAAATATAAAGCTAAAATATAGAGTATATATGCTGACTATAAGCAAAACCAAAACTGGTCATAGTTATGAGTTCTCGACCATCTCAAGAAACCTAATGTTCAGAGGTCAGATCATCTCTGACCAGCTCCAGAGATCTTATAACTAGATGGATTCCACAAAGTATGTTTCAGAGTAACTGTGCTTCAGTGTTATAAATGTCTTTCAGTAGCATTATTAAAACATCATGGCTTCTTCTACACTAGCCCTATTTCTTACCCTCAGGACGCTCTTAAAACATGATCCCATAACTGCAGTTAAATTACCTCTGTTAGAAGTTAAACAGATTTATTGGAAAAATACATCTATCCTTACAAAAGAGCCCTGCAATGCTTTAGAGTTCCTTTTAAACTGATTTCCCAACATGATTCATTTTAACAATATTCCTTTTTCCTAAGTTGGCTAATATTAGCACAGGTATTCGGGTTGTTTCTTTATGTAGCTGATGTCTCTGCTGTATGTGTCTCACCAAAGAGAGAGACAAAAGAACAAAAAAGTGGTCATTTTGTGTTCATGGTAGCTTATGTTATAAAACTTCCTACTAATATTACTTATATCTGCGTCTCCCACTCTTTATGTACCTTCTCATGGTATACTGTTATATGGTTCCTGCTGTTGCATATGATATATCAATCATTGGATTAAATGCATTAAAAAGTAATGGAACAGTAACCACAGGACCCATATCTTCTGTATCAGGAGAATAATAATGATTAGGCAGCCTTTGCTCTTTCTTATCAGTTAATGTTTAAGAATTCCATGACTGTCTCAACTTCACCAGTAAAGAGAGCTTTTACAAGAGAGCATCAACCTGAGAAGCACTGGTATTTCTCTGAGATGATGGCTTGAATCCCCTCAGGCAGAACAAGAATTGCATTTAGGCATCCCTCATCGTATGGTGAATAGTAAACATTGAGCTGCTGTAATTTACAGCTCATTCTCTAGCTGTATTTTGAATGTAGGGATTTCAGCTGGGGGGGGTTGGGTTTTGGGAGAGTTGGGGTTTTTTTGGTTTGGTTTGATTTTAGTCATTTAACTTCTCTCTGTAAATTTCTTGACTGTGTGTTACAAAGGGATAAGAGTACATCTGTATAATTCATAGCAGGACAACTAAGCCTCACAGGGAGGTAGATTTTCCCTTAGTATTTCTTGTTTGATGATTTACAGATTCTAGGTTTGTGGCTGCAACACCACATCACAGGCCATATAGGCTATTGGTAGGTAAACTTCATTAATTAGACAACTACTAAGTAATTTTTTGCATCACATTGTTATCTCATTCTACAAAAACCTAAAAATAAACTGAGCATTAAGAACTGTGGAAAACACTGTGAATTATCATATGTCTTTGCTCTCTTCAACAGTCCAACTGTTAAACACTGATATTTTGTGTCATAGCATACAAATTACCACTTAGATCTAAATCAGCATACAAAATATAACAAAAAAAAAGAGACTGAATACGTAAATATAACCTTATCTATACTTTTATAGCTATATTTTAAAATTTCTATGATGTGTACAATGGTTCTCACACTAATATTTTGAAATCTGCCGAAAAGTGAACTGGAGGCAAGGGAATGAGATAGGAGAGAGAGTGTCTATGGGTGTAGCTGTAACAGCTACAAGAATGGTTAAAATCAAGGATACCCTAATACTTTAGAAATAGTAGAAGATGTTGGAAATTATATAGAATTTCTGCCAATGGTAAAATAAACATCATAACTCTCTGTATGAGGGGCTCAAGGGAGGGATCATAATGAGTAAGAGCTTGCAGAGTGCTAGAAGTAAGGGATGATAATTGTAGCTACCAGTCATCTACCACCAGACTCATAAACAGTGAGATGGGGACATCATGAAGCATTCTGACAATTTCATACTTGCATTTAGACGTTGTTGGATTTTGGGGGTCAACTCTATTCTGCCTAAGAAAATTCTGTTCTTTAAAAAAAAATAAATTAGTTTTGCTTCTTTGTTTCCATCCATCTTTGCTGTATTTTTCTTCCATCTTTCTATTAAAAAAAAAAAAAAAAAAGTGGAATTGGGCACCTTTTTTGTTTTTAAATAATTGAACTTAGGAAACATCACTTTTGCAAAAGTAATTTATTAAAAAAAAAACCAAAACAAGGTCTTGGAGAAAAGCTTTTATGGAGCATTGAAAGCAGGTTTTTGGGGGAAACAGAAGATGAGTGTCAAGGAAAGAGGGGAAAAAAATTGTGAGAGGTGTGTCTCACTGAGAGAAAATCTTTTGTCCAAGACAAAAAGGAATTATCCAGATTTCCATTTCTTCACGGAATGTAATTGCATCAAGAGGGTACATTCACATCAGTCTTAGCACACTGTAAAACATGTAAGAGAAGACAATGCAAGCAAGCTCTCATTTGCAAGATATTTAGTCAAGGCTTCCACAGTTGTGTTGTATACTCTGTGTTCAATCATGTCTCTGATTAATGGGATTTTGATAGAACTGTAATGTAGATGGAACTTGGTAGAACTTCAGTGCTGAAAAAAAAAGATATAATTTACAGTATACTACTTTGCTTATAGGAATCTATAGCTAAAGCAGAATTGTACACAGGCACACTTAAACCAGTATGAAAATATCTTTAAATATAACTCTGATGTCTGGTTCTAAATAGTGTGTTTTCCTTTCCTGAATTCATACAGTCTTATCTACCAACCACAGTGTATGACCTGTATGACTTACTATCCCAACCCATTAATTGGTCTAGATTTAAAAGTTACAGTCACCCAAGAGTTTTAAGAAAAACAATGGCATCATGGACATTATCCTTCAACATCTCAAAATGTTAGACAGAATTATACACCAACTGGACAGGGACATGTACTTTTTTCAAGATATGTATAAATGTAATTTTTGGGGGGAGCTACCTGAATAAGCTCTTGTTTTCCTGCTTTAATATTCATTAAAAGTGTTTAATTCATCTCCTCCTTTCTCCAGGTGGGCGATCAGGACACCCAGACCGGAGGAGATTTCACCTTCCTCCTCGGTAAAGAATACATGTCTACAGGTGGCAAACTGAGATGATGGGATAGTTACCTTTGAGATAATTTTTGTTTATGAGAGCATCTTTTTATGAACTTTGTACAAATAACTGAACCACGTAATTGTGGAGGAAATCCCTCAAAGCTGAGGCTGTTCACCTTGTTAATCACTTTTCATGTTTGCTCTCATTTTATGAGACCAGAATCACTAAAACTTAAGTTACGGGTACCTGAGGCACATTAACATCCCAGTACAGCTACATGGTTTTGTCCATTAGACAATAGAAAGTCTGAAGTGTTTTTTACAACACTGTAACACTGTTAGATATTTCTGAGTGTAAATTTAGGACCTAAACTATGATTTTTTCGTATTTTTCTTATATTTGTTTATCTTACAAGACTTTCCCCACTCGGAATAATGTGTCATGTTCGTGCTGTATGTGGTTTGTGTATTAATTGTGGATTATATCTGTATCTTAAGGGTTATACCATTGTTACTGAAACCTGTAGAAAAGTTTGAAACATGCCATCAGGGATGTAAGCATCATCTACCAGTGAAACAATATCACCTTTTTGTAAAAATGTAACTTTCTTACAAGAGACAAAAATTGATATTACATTTGGTACTTCCAGTTAAGCTAGTTTTTCTATCTTTGTCAAGTGACGAGAGAAAGAATCTATAATGTTTTACTTCTGTAATGAATAATACTTCTGAGAGCTATATTTATTTTCTGTCCAAATTCTAATTCAAACACCTATCTTCAGAATTATTTCTTAAAAATTGATAGATTTCACTTTGTGATTCAATTTCAGTGATATATGTATTTCTTTAATTTTAAAATTAATACATTTAAAATATTATTAAAATGAATTAATTTTAAATAGAGTATAAACAATACTAAAGAAATGTAAAATAACAGAGCACGTGCAATTTTTATCAACATATAAGATCATAGAAAGCATGTGACACACTTAGAACTGTGTTTCTTTCTTTACTGATCTGCAGCTCAGTTGAAGCACCTCCATCTACATAGACTTCAACAATTTCATGCTTTTCTTAGATTTCTAGCAAACTTTGAACAGACTTGGTTCAAGTGGATGTTTATGGAACTGTTGTTTTTTCATCTGTGTATGTGCTTTGGAATCACAATGTCTTTAGTTTTGTATTTCAACGTTTTCAGTACAATAAATTATACAGTAACTCCTTCTCACATGGGAGGTAAATGATGAAAGAAAAACAGGAAGTACAAAAGATGCATGGAGCTCCTGGAGCAAGTCAAGCAAGAACTGTAAAGATGATTAAAGGATTGGAAAATCTCTCTCCAAATCAAAGGTTGAGAGAGTTGGACCTGTTCAACCTCGAGAAGAGATGAGTGAGAGGGGACCTCATCAGTGTGTATAAATATCTAAAGGGGGGGTGCCAGGAGGATGGAGCCAGGCTCTTCTTGGTGGTGCCAAGCAATAGGACAAGAGGCAGTGGGCAGCAACAGATGCACAGGAAGTTTGAACTGAATATGAGGAAGAACTTCCTTACTGTACAGATGATTGAGCATTGGAACAGGTTGTCCTGCGAGGTTGTGGAGCATCCGTCATGAAATATTCAAGAATCACCTGGATGAAATCCCATGGTATGTGTTCTAGGACAACCCTATTTGAGCAGGGAGGTTGAACCAAATGACCCACTGTGGTCCCTTCCAACATGACCCATTCTATGATTCTGTGATTATTCACTTAATGTTGTTTCTTTGGCCTTGTGCAGGTAACTTCTTGAATCGACTCTCAGTGGAACTTAGTTCCTGTTTAGTATACATTAGGTCCAAGTGAATAATATTGTCAGATACACATAACTCCATGCTATGATTTCCTTGCATGTATTTTTCTGTTTGCAACCCAATAAATACATTCTTTTGTACTTAACATACAGCAGCAATCCAACTAAAGAAATAAACAATACAGGATTTCTAGTTCTATTGAAAGTTTTAACAGACTCAAATTTTATACAACACAGTGTATAAATCCTTTGCATTCCAAGGATCCCGCCATGATGGGGTATTCCTGCTTTGTCACTGACTGTAATTGTACTATCATTTTTTTCTTACCCCCCCCCGAATCTTTTGGAATAATGTGGTCTGAGTTTTATGGAAAGTTCTCTAGTTTCAGAGATCTCATGATGTATAATGGTGTATTTGAAAAGAACGTGATTGTGTGCCAGAATTTGTTGGTAATTCCCCCTTCAGGATTTGATATGAGAAAAGTTTTCTGTTGGCCTCAATAAATGAAGTTAAATACAGCTAGAGTGGGAGTTTTGCTGTGCTAGCTGTGGTATGCTGTGAATTGTTGGTAATAATTACCCTGACTACTGAAGAATTGATAGTGTCTCTGTGAGAGTTTTTTCCTTCCTAATGTTAGACCATAAGCAGAAGCTGCTTATTATTATTTCCAAGCCAAAATATTTTTTCCCACGAGGAATTGTAGAGTGAAAGCATAAGCACCAAGTTGAAACACAGAGGTACTACTTTCCTTTCTCACTGAGCTTTGAATTGTTCAGAGTACCATAAAGCTTATGGATTCGAAAGAAATCATAGACAAGAATATGACCTTAGAGATCCAGTCTTTATCCAGTCTAATAGGATTTCCTTAAATGTGGGCTGCAGGGTTGTTTTGAGTGGTTACAGGACAGGGGAAAAACAGACGTGGATTTGAAGTGATGTGTGTTTGTGAAGAAAAGCGTTCTTGTTCAGCTGTACTGCTTACAATCTTCCCTAGCCTGTGCAGTGGGTAGCTATCATCCAATGTTCACTGAAATTGTGGATTGATTTATTAGCTTTATGTGTTCCCCTTCAGGAAAGGGAATCAAAGAATATTCTATAACATCAATAACGTAGTCAACTGTGACTCAGCAGAAATTGTAACATAGTCATTGTGAGAGCAAGAATGACAGGAAGACATTTATCAACTTTTCTCTTTTTATGTATTATGTATCCTTCCTCTTACACTACTTTACTCATTTGTGACACCATTCCACTGGAAATCCGAATCTGGACTGCAGAAAACATGGAAACACTGAGATAATCCTATGATGCTGTGGAACTGTAAGCCTCAAAACATAGTTTATGCCTCTTTTATAAAACAGGAAACCACAGTTTTAAGTGCTTTGCTACCTTAGCAAGTGTTGTGCTGAGATGGAGGGGAACATCAGTGTTAAAGCTCTGCAGATCTTTTTGTGCCATGCTGTCTGAGCAAAATTATTAGGGTACTGAAACATATGGTATTATTTTGTAAAGGTGTTCTTTATTTAAATGTTGTGGAAGAAGATCAAAAGTTTACATATTCCTATTTAAACGTTGACTCTCTCTTGTCAGCTAAGCTGGGAGGTAAGCTAGTATATGTCCTTCACTAGGAAGTTTGATGGGATATTCCTCAGCAGTGCAGAGCCTCCTTAGAGAGTATCTTTTGTTGATGTAGAAGCACAGACAGCTCAGTAAATAAGCAGAAACCTTTGGCATGTTTTTGCCATATAGGCATATCGTGCTTGAGAGTGTAGGAATACCATGGCACTTTGTGAGTCTGATGAGGGTGCCCGTTTGGATACATGTTGATGACCTAGTAAGGTTGCTCCTGAATGTAGGTCATTCAGACTGGCTGAGGTTGCTCAAGATAGGGCTCAGTGATGGTGAGTATACAAGCACCAGTGTTTTCTGGTGTCCCACATGCAGAGGTACCTGACAGCTGAATGCCTGCACCCCTGAATGCACGCACCCCTGAATGCACTACCAGGTTCTTCTCCTGTCCCTTAAGGGGTCTGGCTACCTGCAGCTGGGTAACCTTGGATCCAGCTGGTGTGTGAGAAAGACCTATGTAAGAGATGTGAGAAGTCTCACAGGAGTCTCATGAGACCCTTGGCTCAAGAGCCCAGGGTTCATTTAAGCCCAGGTCCTTGCCCTTGGTGCTTGGTTAATCTACTTCGCAGGTATTCCTGTGTCCTGCCTATCTGATTCCACCTTTGCCTTGCTGATTTGACTTCCTTGTTTGATCTGCATGTCCCTCATCCCCATAGACTTGTCCAGTGACCACAGGAATATTATGTGGGTCCGGTTACCATCATCAGACCTGCTCTGCAGTTCTACTGTGGAATTGAACACAAGTCAGGTCAGCTGCACTACATTGCCATGCCATGATTGGCTTGCCTTCCCCTGTGGAGCAGGCCACCCTTGCTACCCTGTGAGCCCTGACAGCACAGGGGGTCAGAAAGTTCAGCTGAAACTGTCATAGTAATTGGATGGTGTCAAAACAATAGATATGGTCTGTGGGATTACTTGATGCTGAAAACAGCTTGAAAAACTGAAAACGGCTACAACCAGCAAAGTGTCTTTGTGTATCTCTATACAATTAGGACCTTGCATTCACTGTTCTCCTAGACCTTGCTGCTGACACCCAGACCCTTCTTACCCATAATTAGGCTACTGAGTACACCATGTTTCAACATTACACACCACAAATCTGAAGCTGCTTCAGAACATGGAAGCTTATTTGTTAAAGAGTATGTTCTTGAAACTGATACTCCTAGAGCTCCGCTGGCTTGTACAGCTTTTGAAGCCCTAGGTGGAAGATCAGGTGTTAAGTTAAACCTACAGTGTCTTGGCTAGGATTTTTTACCTGGAAGTATGTAGTTGAGACAACACATGATAGGTTGAAGAGTTGTCTGTGAAAGACAAAGAGTCAGCTGGCAGGGTATTCTGTCTGAGTACTCACTAGACTAAATTTATTTAATCTTACTACAAAATTAAGGACTAGTATTTGGTTTTGATTTTGCAACTGGGAAAATAGATCTTTATTGTATTAAAAACCCTCAACCTGACAGTCTGGAATATTTGTTTATTGAAGTAAGGAAACCAGTTACTGACACTGATCTTGTATGGAGTGCTGTTCATTACCCAGGTAGCAGTTACAGTAGTGCGCAACTTAAAATTAACACACCTGAAATTAGAGTGTAGACAGGATATCAGTTGCAGTAATTGCAACTTCTGTCTCCCATATCTCTATATACTACAAATAGGGAGGTAATTGGGGCCAAAGAACTGCTCTGACTACAGAATTTCAGTTTCGTACAGTGTTGTATTCTGCACTGAGTGTTCATGTTTGATATCAAGTTGTATCTTGTCAATAAACATCACCAAGAGACTCTCCTCTCCTTATTGATGATATTTGTGACTACTGCTTACTAGTCTTTTGGAGATGAAGGACTGGATTTGCTGATCAGATGCAATCACAAACCTGAAAGTTTCACAGGCCAGGGAAGCAAGGACAAAACAGAATGCTAGGGATGGATGTATACAAAATTTAATATTTCAAGGCTTTTAGCTTTGTGTTGGTTCTTATTTTCCCACAGTTAATCATTGGATCATTTATCGAATGGCCTTTTATTGGTAGTGGTCACACAGATAAACAGGGATATATTAATTCTTAATATAGTTAATTTAAGCGTGATATTTTATGTACGTTGATACTTCAAATGTATTAATCTGCTCTTTTTCATGCCAGAAGACACAAGAAATACTAGGCACAGGAACCAATCCCAGATATAAGCTCTCTGAAAATGTTTGATAACTGCAGGCTTTTTAATAGAGTATAGTGCCCCCTGTCTCAAAAATTAGGTAGCCAGTGTGTGGCTGGCCTTTGGACTCTTATAGAGCAAAACTGTACTGAAAGAGCTGTTCTGATGTGTTTTCCAAATATGCTTTAGGGATCTCAAAAATTCATTATTCAGTGAAAGCAATTATAATTTTTAGAAAAGTGATGAGAAACTTGTGTGTCGTTTATGGCATTTGGAAAACATAGGTCAAGGTAACCATTCAGGAGTTACCTTCATCACATTCAGCTTTATTTCGGTCAAGGCTTTGTTTGTTAATAGCAGAGGCCTAACCAGCTCTGTTTTATTTTATGATAACACTTTAATTTTCATTTGTAATGATGATGCAGCTCATATAAAAGGATGTAAGTGTATAATGTGCTGCCTTCTGATAATCATCTTTGCCCCCTAGTTTAATTATCCAGCAAATCTTTTAGTCCTTCTGATCTACATTCTGCTGGAGGGTTTTAAATTTCAGTGAAGTTTATCAAGGTTTGAGGCATGCTGGTGATAAAGCAAGACCTCTTGCTACATAATACACATATGAAGGATCACCACGTTTAAATACGGTGATAAGGCTGCCTCCGAATCTTGGCCATCTCTGGGCAAATTGCAATACTTCTCTCTTCAACAAAGCCTTCATTTTGTAGGTATGATTTAATTTCTACTCTACCTTCCCTATGCAGAGGGGGGAGACTCCACAAAGGAGCAAATGGGAGAGGCTCAAACAAATCCACTGGCAACCTTGCATTTCCAATCAAAGGCGGGCAGCTACAGAGCTGACGCACGGCAGCACAGGGCAAAGGTGGCCAGTGCATCTAGACCAAAACTTCTAGGTT